AATAAGTCACTTACCTACAATACAGCTACGTTTGAAACATTTTACTCAAAAGATTCACAAAAAGTTGAAAGAGACACTGAAGTACTCACCTCCGAGAGGTTGTTCCCCGACTGTTCTTCCAGAACAGTTCTGCGTGATGTACGCCTGTTTCCTGGAAGGGAAATTGAAATTTCAATCTATTATCCCGAATTTAAATAAACCGGGAGCGATCTCCCTTAAACTTTCTCAAATATTCTTATATAAAAAAACAGGGGATGGGAACTCGGGAAATAGACATGAATTTTAATCCATTTTAAATACTGAAACTTTTTAAAATAGAACAAAATCTCGCAGAAAAAAGAATTGCACACCAGTGAACGCCATATAAAATGTGCATAATAGTGCGGAATATTATTAGTGCTTTATAAATTTACATTCGTTTTTTGAGAAATCGGAAAGAGCGTAAATTACTACTTCCAGTAAACTAAAATTACTCAAAATTTGAAAGACGGTAGAGAATTAGATCTTTTACTTACATGTGAAATTTCATTTATCTTTCTGAAATAGTACTCAAGTTATAGGCTTTTGCAAAATTCAAAGTAAAAAAAGTACCACTTCCGCTTATCGGAAATCGCTCAAAAGTTGATACGGATCTACGATTTTGATATAATAATTATATATGAAATTTCATCAACCTAGCTGTAACGGTTCTCAAGTTATCGTGTTTACACACACACACACACACACACACACACACACAGACACACAGACATACGGACAGAATTGCAAAGTCCAGTTTTTCCGACTCGATAACGCACAAAACGCCAAAATGTTTATATATTTGTATTTATAATTTTGGCCTTATTAAAATAAGTCCTCTATACTCCGGATAGGATGAAGAACTGAGGTGTAAAACGGTGAAAACAGTGAAAATTTCATGTTATTTTTGTGCACGATTACAAGACTTTCTCTATACTTCGTATTTACGAGAAAGTAAAAAAAAAACAACAAAAAACGACACAATTAATTTCTGATTGATAACCACTTAATCGATAACTACTGACTACCCACCTATTTATTGCGAGAGTAGAGAGGCGTTTCTCAGTGAATTGGCTTTCTAGCTGCTCCATGGGTTTTGTATAGCGTACGCTGATTTTATTTTTCTCAAAAATGAGTTCAATCAAAGGACCTATCCTGTTAGAAAAGAACACCAGTTAACGTTGGGGATGGTAGGGTGTGTAACGTAGGGGTGGGGATGTCAGGGTATAAATAGTGGGGGGGGGGGGGGTAGGGATTTCCGGGTATGTAGGGTAGGAACGCCATTATCACGGTATGAATTGGCCATGTATCAAGGTCAAAACCGAGTTTTTTTTATTTAGGTTTATTTAGGCAATTCTAAAATGTGGTTTTTATTGATATAAAATTACATTTTTAAAGCAATATTATAATTCAGTATTGTTTCAAGAATAGTCAAAAACAGTTTCTTTGTAAGACGACATATGTTCACTGACCATAGAGGCTTTGATCATTGGTGGTTTGACCATTGTGGGTTTGATCATTGGAGGTTTGACCATTGTGGCTTTGATCATTGGTAATTTGACCAGAGCGTGACTTTGCCATAGCTGTTTTGTGCCAAGATGGTCTCTGACCGCAGGTGCATTGTCAAGAGTGGGGGGGGGGGGGTTATTCACACGTGATTTGTCCATATATGGTAAGGATTAAGAAACAAAACAAGACTTACCTTGGTACCAGAACAAATTATTGTGTGACGAAATAAAACAAGTCTTACTTTGGTATCAGAATAAAGTACTCCACGCCCCAACCGGAAGTTGGTATGACCAGGAAACTGGCAGCCGAGTGGAATGACACCGGCATAAACACCGTCATCCCAAAGTTGAACTTTCCTTTGGCGACAATAGACGTCGTGGGGCTACTGCTTGATGTTCTGGGACACAATGAGAGCGGTTTAAAGCATACATCCACAGTCTCACGTCATCAACATTCACAGTCCCACGTCATCAACATTCACAGTCCCACGTCATCAACATTCACAGTCTCACGTCATCAACATTCACAGTCCCACGTCATCAACATCCACAGTCTCACGTCATCAACATTCACAGTCCCACGTCATCAACATTCACAGTCCCACGTCATCAACATTCACAGTCTCACGTCATCAACATTCACAGTCCCACGTCATCAACATTCACAGTATCACGTCATCAACATTCACTGCTCACGTCATCAACATCAACAATCTCACGTCATCAACATTCACCATCTCACGTCATCAACATTCACAGTCTCACGTCATCAACATTCACTGCTCACGTCATCAACATCCACAGTCTCACGTCATCAACATTCACAGTCCCACGTCATCAACATTCACAGTCCCACGTCATGAACATTCACAGTCTCACGTCATCAACATTCACAGTCTCACGTCATCAACATCCACAGTCTCACGTCATCAACATCCACAGTCTCACGTCATCAACATCCACAGTCCCACGTCATCAACATTCACAGTCCCACGTCATCAACATCCACAGTCTCACGTCATCAACATTCACAGTCCCACGTCATCAACATTCACAGTCTCACGTCATCAAAATCCATAGTCTCACGTCATCAACATTCACAGTCCCACGTCATCAACATCCACAGTCCCACGTCATCAACATCCACAGTCCCACGTCATCAACATCCACAGTCTCACGTCATCAACATCCACAGTCTCACGTCATCAACATCCACAGTCTCACGTCATCAACTTTCACAGTCCGAGGTCGTAAATAGTAACAGTTCGACGTCGTAAATTATCAAAGACCGACGTCGTAAATAATTATCCGACGTCGTAAATATTCACAGAAAACGAAAAGTCTTACAAATATTTCCGCTGATCCACGTAAGAAGTGACCTGCAAACGGCTGAGAGCGACTGTTTCAAAAACGGGGTGGTCCGATAGCGGAGCGGTGACATAAACATCAAACGAGTCGAGCTTGGTTGAGTACATCATAAGAATGGGTTGGCCTTCAGGCATGTATGGGAACTGTACCTGAAATTCCACTCCCATATGTGTACCTTGAGCTGCAGTGGGGGAAAATATGGGGCTTGTTAACGTAATAATATCTACGCTATTTTTAGTTTTAGATTATTCACTATCATTGGCCAACGCTACAGCTGAGATATAACATTCCGTCATCTGATAAAAACACAAACCTAGCGAACATTAGAGAAGGTAGAATAGAATCTAATGTGGGTTTTCGGCGAGTAACGACAGACATACAAACACACAAATATATACATAAACGCACAATCACAATCACACACACACACACACACGTTATATATATATATATATATATATATATATATATATATATATATATATATATATATATATTATATATATATATATATATATATATATATATATATATATATATATATATATATATATATATTTATATATATATATACATATGCCTATACACACGCAATTAGGCAGACCGATGCTACATAACAATATGCTCTTAATTGCCATTAATTAAACTCTTGAGGTCTGCATTGTTTGCGGCCACTTATGTTTGTTTGACCAATCTTCACGGGCATCTGTGGTTTAGTTGTTAAGTCATTTAGGTTATGGCATAAGGGTTAGTGTACTCATTTGTTATGATACATCAATGTTTCATATACGGACATGTCACAGTTGATGTATATTGTAAATACACTAATATTTTGATACAATTATAAGATCTAGACTCTCTAGACAGATTTACCTTCAACCTTTGAGATTAATCCCAAGCACACAAGAGCTAAAATGTTTAGCATTCTTGAAAAATGTGTAGGAGCCATAAAACTGCTTGCTTGTATGCTCGATATACTCAATAAATGATTAGCCTTCACACCCTGGTACAAAACTTCAGGCAGTCGGCCGTAATGGGCAACATGTTTAGGTGCTGATGTTAATAAAATCCTAGCATGCTGAGTCTGTTCAAAGCTCGTGTAGACCAGCGCTTAGTGAGTTTCTGTTCTCCGTTTGCTTTTGCGCACCAAGTCTTTGATTTATTGTTCAGGAGTTTTCTCATGCCGCAGCCGATTACGTCATTAGTTGAAGAATTCCAAGATAGTAAAATAACACATGGTTTCATTAAAAAATTCATAAAAAACGTTTTAATAACAAGCTTTTATGTAATGATGCACTAAAAAGTAGAAAATAAATTATAGACTACTATTTAAATAACTATAAAGAAAAGCGTGGGTCACTTTAGTATCTATTGGATACCTTTACTAATGTTAAGGAAGACACCCACGCTTTTCTTTATAGTTATTTAAATAGTAGTCTATAATTTATTTTCTACTTTTTAGTGCATCATTACATAAAAGCTTGTTATTAAAACGTTTTTTATGAATTTTTTTTTCAGTACTTTACATGTTTTATCTACAATAGAGTTACATGACTAAAAACCATTGCGCGCCTACTGAATATCACGTTCAGTAGGCGCGCAATGGTTTTTGAACGCAGCCATTACGTGGTCGTGATGGCGCAGCTATTGATGACGCGTGTGGTGTGGTTGGCTAGACATGCCTACTAATTCGGTCCAAATTTTAATTAATTCATAAAAAATCAATTAGGCATCCAATTAAGTCAAATTTAGTTTCAGATTGCATTGTCTTCATGTCTTGACCCACGTGCCAACTGTGAATCGTGTCGGTCAAGTAGAACTGTCCGAATTTTCACTCCTGCGTTTCCGTCTAGACTGACGACTGACGACTTACGACAGACAGAGGAAGTGAGTTAAATAAAAGCTTGTAATGAAAGTAAATGAATCATTAATGACGCGATCATTCTACCGAACACCACCCTAGACGTACCAATGTGAGGAGCATAACTCTGTATCAACAAGTGAACACTTTCACAAAATATTTCACCAATATATATTCGGTATAAGTACAGTTTAAAAATTATCATTAAATTTTAAAAAAAAAACCCACGTTTTCTGATTGAACTAAAAAGTAGAAAATAAATGCTATACATCACAATAATAGAAGCGATCACTCTACTTTAAGCGATCGCAAACTGCGTGGGCATTATGACAAAAAATGAAAAACGTGGGGCGCCGAAGTATTAGAAACTTGCCGTTGTATTATCAGTCAATTTCGGCTCCACTAGCAGCAGTTCGTTCTTTCTGCTTAGCAAGACGAGAGATCCTTTCTTGTTCTGTCTCCATCGCTAAAGCAGCAGATTTTCGGTTGCGATCTTTTTCAAGCTTCGTTTGATACTCAACTTCTTCCATAATTTTTGGTCGTTTAAGATGATTTTCCAATCTATATCCTGCAGGGCGCTTCTCTTGATACTTCTGGCGTTCCTTTTCCAATCGACGTTTCTTCTGTATTGCCGTTTCTTTCACCATTTTGCCCTCGCGTGCAAACCATTCGACAATCAACATTCTACTTCCGGATCAGTCAGATTTGCATAGGTTTGTACACAAGCACCGCGTGACCACACGATTGGGCGAGATATCACAGTCCTTAATTTCTCTATCTCCCCGCCTCCAGTCACAAAATCAACCTTCTTGCTTTCACCCCCAACCTTCAACTGTCCTCCGCATTCATCCCTACGCACCACCTTTCTCTCGCTCACAACACAGCCACTCTCACCCGACCATTCGCTTCCCTTGTACCCTCGTTCACTCCGTACAACAACATACACGTCAACACACCCGGCCTCGCGTCACACTACATGATAAATACATACACGCAGTGACCCGTTCCACGTATTCACCTTTCATACACATTACATCACCACATTCAGTAAGCCAGAAGAGGAAAAGTACCGAACCTTGTTTTTATCAAAATAAAATTACTAGGTTATGTCCCTTTTTTCTACAAATCAATAAGAGTAAAAAATGATCAATAAAATTTTTCCATGGATCAATTTAGTAATAATAATAATTGAATATTGTATTGTCGTCGGAAACAAAGCTTCCCTGAAAATTTCAGAGCGCTAGCTAACTGGGAAGTGCCCAAAATTTTGATCGCAAGATTTGATGGAAAGACAAACAAACAATCAAACAGACGCGAAAGCAAGTTAAAGAAAACGTTGGAAAATAAAAAAAAATGTCAGAGAAAATCCTAAATGGGTCGTTTTGGGTAGTCATTTTTATTTATTTTTGTCTAAATATAAAACTACTATGCATCGAATTTAACAGTTAAATATCAATTTAGTTATGTTTAAGATATATAATTCGTTTAATACATGCCTAGATATGTTTAAGGCCTGTTTGTATTTTATTTTTAATGTTAAATCAACTAAAAAGCGGACAGATGAGTCTAAAATTTTGGGATGGAAAGAGACTCATTTGTATATTTCAAAATCGCCATTCACATTAGTAAAACGGAAAAGCATGCTGAAACTATCCAACTTCCTGTTTAGTTAAAGATTAGGATTTGTAGGCCCAATGTTTATGAAACAAATTTAACTTTTCTATGCGTATCGTAAGCGGGCGGCAGCGGGCGTTATGGGTCCTCGGAACTACTGTGTGTAAATGCTAAACATGCATTTATAATTAATGCATTTATAATTAATGCATTTATAATTAACGAGCCGACCCGCGGCATATCATACGCCGCTATTTAGTTGTTGTTTTATTCTACTTTTCAGTAATTCATAATTTGTGAATTCGACACTACCAACGCTGCCACTGAAAATATTTCTTTAAAACACTATAAGTAGCTCGTTAAGGACGATAACCACCCCCCTCCTCCCCCCTCCGTTAAAGTAAACTCCGCTTAGTTCCCCCCCCCCCCCCCACGTTTAAAATCGTTTCTAACTAAATTATCTGCCCCTAATAGTCGTCACTAAACCCGGCTCTGTTTGTAAACATTTAGAGTGAACCACAGCTCACCAGACCATGTAGGGGTGGGGGGTGGTAGGGAGCGCGTTTACAGCTTGTTTTCTAGCGTCTCCCAGAAGAGAATTATATATACGAGCCGACCCGCTGCGTATCATACGCCGCTATTTAGTTGTTTTTTTTTCTACTTTTCAGTAATTTATAATTTGTGAATTCGACAGTACCATTGCTGCCATTGAAAATATTTGCTTAAAAACACTAATCCCCCCCTCCTCCCACGTGAACGCAGCCTCCTCTTAGTTACCACCTCTAAGTTTAAAATCGTTTCAAACTAAATTATCTGCCCCTAATAGCCGTCACCAAACCCGTCTCTATGATTGTAAAATGTAAACAGAGTGAACACCGCTCACCAGATCATGTGGGGGTGGGGTGGGGGTGGTAGTGATAGAGAGGAAGAGAGGGGACTGCAAAGGCGCGCTTGCAGCTTGTTTTCTAACTGATCCCAGAAGAGAATTATATATATAGATAGATGCATTTATAATTGACTAACACACTTCGCTTTATAACAATATTGAAAGAGATTCATTAAGTTATTGGTTTAAAATAAAAAGACTACTGATGACGATTTAATTAAAGTATAGGCGTTTGAAGGCTGATATATTCGTAATGCATGTGCAATTAATTAAATATCTTTTAGAGATGGCTTAACTAGTAATGTACATTGACAATGCCAACGACAACAGCAGTGAAAATAGTATTGCATATAATCTTAACTTATTTGAAATATTTTTAAAATAAGAAACTTTTAAGTATAATAACTATTGCCCTAATATATTTTGCATGAAATGTAAAGAATCTAAACAAGTTGGCTGAATCTATTTAATGATTTTTAGAGAGAAGTATTGAAATACACCAACAGTGAAAACAGACCTTCCTAACCTATTCAACATTCACCGCCCGAAATAGACTATGCGGCTTACATTGTACATATAATGTTTGTATGTGTTAATATGTCATGTCTCCGTATGAATTGACTCAGAAAAACTTAAGCAATAACTACAACAAATGAAACAATTAATTTCTTCTTTAGGTAGTTGCAAATAGACACGCGTTCTCGGATGAGTGCAGATTGTGATCGTTATAGTCTTATATTTTAAACATTATGTTTTGTGTTACTGGCTAATTTAATTTAGTTTATGTACAAGCAAAAGGGTAAAGTTTAAGTCGTGTTGTTTTATTACATGCAATATTTTATTAATTTTATGTGTTAACAATTTGAAATAGATTGTCCAATATATCAAAAGCTCGTTGTTTTCTGTTATTTTTTCGGAATTGAAGTAGCAAAAAAGGGAAAAAAATTGCTCTGTCTAATTTAAAAAAAAAAAATTATATACGATACACTTTACTGTAGTTTACAGTAGTTTACAGTAGTTTACAGTAGTTTATAGTAGTTTACAGTAGTTTATAGTAGTTTAGATTACAGTAGTTTACAGTAGTTTACAATAGTTTACAATATTTTACAATAGTTTACAATAGTTTACAATAGTTTACAGTAGTTTACAATAGTTTACAATAGTTTCCAATAGTTTACATTAGTTTACAATAGTTTACAATAGTTTGCAATAGTTTGCAATAGTTTACAATAGTTTACAATAGTTTACATTAGTTTACAATAGTTTACATTGAACTAACTTTTTCAAGCATTTTACAACAATTTACAATCTTTTTACAATATTTTTAAGCATTTGTGTCAATTTTTCTATTTTCTCCATGATGGGTGATAGACTTTAAGCATTAAGATTGTGTTCAAATGCCTTGCCAATATCATTGTAAAAACACCTGAATAACATTACAATTGAACAATAATTTTTTTTTTCAAAATTAAGTGTCCATTAATCAATCTTAAAGGTAATAGCTTTGAATTTTTTAACTTATTAATATTGGCTATTTAAGATGAATCATAATACAAATGAAATCAACGTGATCTTAGTGGAGCCAAAATTGACTGATTACAACGGCAAACTTAGCATGTTAAAAAAAATCAGTTTCAAATCGTGAATGATGTTAATAAAACGTTTTGAATTGTGTTCAAAAGTCACGTTTTAGTAAGTAAAATAGCAATTTAAGCTAATGGTTAAGCAACGCTGAGGTGAATTTAATTTCTATTTTCAAATAAATTCATATTTACAATTTTTAAAATCGGATATTCCCAGAGTGATTTTAAAAATCAGGAAGTATCAGAGTATTAAGAAAGAGACGCCATTTTATAAAAAAATAATCAATAAATCCAATGACTGTGAAGGTATGTTTCGAAACAGATAAAAATAAATCAATATCTGCACTCAAATTATTGTTCTTGAAATTAAGGTTTACTGAATATATAACAAGCAATGATTCAACAAAATAATTATCACATTAATACCTTTTAAATATACTCCATTAAGATGCAAAATGAACTGGATGCATTTAAAACTGATTTAAACATTTTAACACTGTCGAAGAATATGTTTAAATGCTATAAAAATTAAAACAAAAGGATCGCTTCTTTTATTTATTTATGGTGCTTGATTAAATCTATCTAAAAGCTGGGGATTTACCCAGTGGCGTAGCTAGGATTTCAGTCCTTATGCAAAATTTATCAGTGGGACGATTTGTCAGTATTTAGGCTACAAACGAGTTTAACGAAGAGATCAAGTTAAACTCACGATGTAGGGTTTTAAATAATATAAATATTATGTACATTGTGTATTGTATACACCATGATTGTTTATTTATACTATATTATTGTGTAGGTCTTCAACCCCGTAGTTTTGTAATAATGGTACAGGCTTAAAGTTAATTTGTTTTTTATTTTAAATAACTAAACACATCAGGGTCGCAAGGTGGGGGGGGGGGGGGGGGGGGGAGGGGGAAGAGGTGCGTTCCGCATCGGCTGACAACACTTAGGCGTGACATCATGATGAAATATTGTAAAAATTTACTGTCAAAAATATATTTTTTTTCAGCTAAAATAATAAAAAATAAGCCAGAGAGCGGTGACACCCCACCGAAAATACAATATTGTTTGGGGATGTGACATCTTTAGTAAACGCGTAAGGGAACACCCGACCTTGTGACACCACTATCACAATTTAAAAAAAATTATCTTAATTTATTTAGATATGTGTTTTCACGTGCATTTATTTTAGCTAAATGATTAATAAGTTCCATGAGATCTATTTTAGCTGCTTCTGTATGTTAGATACTTAGGATGACTAAGTTACTGAACCTATGGGCTTATCTATAACCTGTTTATAAGAAATTAATAGCATCATATTGAAAAAATATTATAGACATCAAAATCTCTTCCTTGATCACAATGGAATGTTTAAGAATATTTATCGGTAACTAGCATACCCGTCCGCGTTGCTGCGATCTAGGCCAACAAATCAGGGTAATAAATATAAGGTTTCATGAACGCGTTACAATTTTTTGTGTATTTTAAATCGTGTGACTTATTTTCTAAAACTCAGATAGTTAAAAGGTAAGCAACGCCACTGTTAATTTTTTTTTTCGGATCTTTGTTGCAGGGGCGCCGGTTTGTCCACACTAGCGATCAGATGCCCTTGGGCGTGCTGTGTGAAAGCATTGAGTATACGATAACCATTATCCGTAATAATGAGGTTAAACACCTTTCAGCGACCACCTAATGGTGTCGCGGGAGTGACGTGTTACACTTATATAGGTAGCCGTATGCTACACGGTTTAATCCTGTGCTAGGTGTCATCCATAATCCGTGTTCACCGAAGGCCGCACTCGTTGGAGTTTGATCGTTGAATAATTAGTACCCCTGAAGGACGCGCAATCAACGAATACACAACACACTCACGTCTATTGTCGTAAATTATTATAAATCATCTTCCTCAATTCAGTCTTGGATACTATTTGTTTTACTGTAAATGTAAATCGAACACTGATTTTTTAACAAATTGTATTTCTGAAATTAATTCTTTTCTGGCGTAGAATCAAATTGTTTAAATTCCGGAAGATGTCTCTTAACGAACGTTCTAGAAAACATTTAAACAATCTGATGCAAGAGTTAGATGATATCCACGTCGATTTACAGGAACATTTAAGTGAATACGTCAAAAAGGTGGGTGTGTTCTTGTAACATTGAGGCATTATTAAGTAACTTTAATTCACTTATTATCCTTAATTTGTCAAATTCACGCCAATTTTATTTGCATAATATTATTTTTAAAAATTTGTAATATAGATAACTTCAAGAATCAAGGACTGGATGAATGATCCCTCTGGTAAATCAATGACATTAAAAGAAGCGATGGCTGTAGTAACATCAGCAAATAACTCACTACTTGAAAATATTGACATGATAAATGGTACTTTGTTAGACAAAAGATGTTGACATTAAAATAGCACTGTAAAAAGCTTTGTATTAAGCCAAATTAAAATTTAATATTTTTGCTAAAAGACAATTTTCATATTGTATTTTTAAATACAGGTTACTTGTTTGAATAGTGGATTAAATTATAGTTCGCTAGATTTTTAAACTTGTTTCATTAGAAGTAGCATATACTTTATATTTCTAAATAGTATGTTCCGTGATTTTAAACTGTTTAATTTATAAAGAGGTTATCGTTATTATTACTGAGGAATATTTACTAGAGTGATTTATGTATACTTAAACATCTTTTTATGTCTTTACTCAAACAGAAAAGATGCAATTTCCTTCTATCAGAACACATGAGATGGCAAACGCTGAACTAAGTCTAAGAGAGGCGGATGAAGTTAGGCATGATAGTAATGACGTTTTAACAAGTTAGTCTTTTTGGTTGTTTTTTTTTTGGAATAGTAATTGAATATGTAACTGATTGCTTATGAATAACGATTTTTCAGGTTCTATTTTAAAGCTGTCTAGTAAAACACATCAGTCTGATATCACTGGCTACTTCCTGATCTCAGTAGTTCAATTTTTTGTATGGAATATAATTTGATTTTAATTGATATTGCAAAGACATGCCAATCAATAAAATTTAGACATACACTACTGCTGGGGTTAGTTTATAGTATTTGGACATAACAATTTGATATTCTGTTTAATTGTTTTCAGTTTCACCAGAATCAATGAGGCAACTTGAGAGTAGGATAGAAGCAGTTGAAACAGCGATTATGTCATTTGAAAACACGAAAATTTTGGTTGAAGATACAAGCACGCAGTTAAAGCAATGTCAGGAAATTTTTGACAAAGCAATGGAAAAAAAATCGAAGACACAAAAAGCAAAATTCAAAAACATTGGAAAGCAATTACATGAACAAAGTGAAAAGATAAAGGATTTAAATGAAGTGATTGAATTTGTAAAAGAAGAAAAATCCGACGCAAACAAAGAACTAGAGAAACTATCTCTAGATATGAAAGAATATGAAAACAACTTACACAAAATAAATAAAGATATGCAAGATTACACTGACAAAACAGAGTGTATAACACAAGAATTAAGATGCCATTCGGATTTGATTTCTGTTTTGCAAGAAGATGGAAAGAAAATTAATGACCTAGCATTAAATAAATTTGAAAAATTGCAAACAAAGGTAACAAAACATGGGTATTCATTACAAACTTCAAAAAGCTTCAAATACAAACAATATTCCAAAAGAAATATAGAATTTTTCAGTGTACAATTCAAGCTATAGCATAAGGTTAAGATATTTAGTAAGTGCTAGTTATGCAAATAATAATCAAATAAATACAGTATACAATATGTGTATAATAATACACAACCGTTTGATATATAAGACATCTTATTATGTTACCAACATTTTTACCCGTTAAGGTATCTTATTTACGTCAATTCCCCCCCCCCTGGAGATTTCCCCCCGTATTTACCCCCCGTAGCAATTACCCCCTGTCAATTACCCCCTATGTAATTACCCCTCCCCCTTTCCACCCAAGCCCCCGCTAAACTACATATATGCAACACAATATAAATGTACAAACATGAATAAAGTTTTGCTTTCAGATATTTTTTGGGTAATGTCCTATTGCTGTTTTTTGGGCGGGGGTAATATCCGGGGGGGGGGGGGGAGAAATTTACAGGGGGTAATTGCTCCGGGGAGTAAATACGGGGGATGTCCGGGGGTAATTGGCGGGGGGGGGAATGTCCTCTTCCCCTTATTTGCATTCACATCCGTAATAATTGTCAGATTTAATATATATATATATATATATATATATATATATATATATATATATATATATATATATATATATATATATATATATATATATATATATATGTGTGTATATATATATATATATATATATATATATATATATATATATATATATATATATATATATATATATATATATATATATATATATTTGAATATACTTATATCTCATAGTATGGCATGACTTGTACTCTATTACTACGAAGACTGGCTCCAATTGAAAAAATCTTCGCAAGTTGCAAGGACACTAGTGCGAGGAAGAAAGAAAATAGTTTAAAGGTGCAGCATTTGATTTTCTAAAGGTGTATATAAACTTAGTGCTTTATATCAGTAGATATACATATTTTCTACGACAGAGTGTAATAAATGTAGTGCTAGGTGACAAAAAGTGTACTTTTTTAAATACTCAATACATAAACCGAGCTAAAAGAAATGTATATTTATATGAACATTTATATTTACGAGCCGACCCTCGGCGTAACATACGCCGCTATTTAGTTGTTTTATTTTCTACTTTTTAGTAATTAATCATTTGTGAATTCCACAGTACCAATGCTGCCACTGAAAATATTTGCTTTAAAACACTATCAGTAGCTCGTTAAGGAGGATAACTCCATCCCAGCCTCCTTTCCTCCAATCAGTACCACGCCCCCCCCCCCCCCCTCCCCGTGAAAGCAGCTTCCTCTTGGTTACCTCCCTTATGTTTAAAATCGTTTCAAACTAAATTATCTGCCCCTAATAGCCATCACTACGATTGTGAACATTTGGTGTGAACCACAGCTCACCAGACCATGTGGGGGTGGGGGTGGTAGCGATATGCCTAGAGAGGAAGAGAGGGGGCTTCAAGGCGCGATTACATCTTGGTGGTGTCTCGCAAGGTCCCCATGAAGAGAATTAGATATATAGATTGATCTCCAATAATCTTTTACACTTGAGCATTTCACGTACATATATACAATTTAAAAAAAAATGAATGGCGTTGCATACTTATTAACTATCATCATATTGTTTATATATATATATATATATATATATATATATATATATATATATATATATATATATATATATATATATATATATATATATATATATATATATATATATATATATATATATATATATATATATATATTATCACAGACAAAATATGTCTCTGATGAATGATCTCAAGACAAAATCTGTCAAGACAAATGATACAATAGATAAATGATCTGAGACAAAATATCTCAGATAAAATGTCTCAGAGCAAAATATTTTTAGTATTAAGATATTAAGATAATTTTAGTCATTAACTTCCCAAAGTTTTATGGCGATCGGATGAAAGGTGTAGTAATTCACAAAAGACAAACATACACGCACGCACATACAAATACAGTGCTTTTTGTATAGAGAAATAAGTACATATTTAGATGGCATTACAAAATTTGTTAATTAATTTTTAATTTTTATTTTAGATCGGGCAATTAGAGAAAGTCGTTTTTAAAATAAATGAGGATGTTTCAGCGATAGGTAAGTAAAGCTTTGAAAAATGGAGTAAATAATATCTTATTTTAGCTTAAAATTTTTTTTTTTAAATTATAAAATGTCATAAAACTTTTAAACAGCTCAACTTCAAAAGTCAACAGCAACAAAGCAGCAAGCTCTGGAACAAAAGCTGGCAACACAACCACAAAGTCCTGCACCACGCTATGGAAACTACAGCGGTTATGATCAATCTTTTAACAGCAGTCTAACTCGTTGGCCAAAAAACTGACGTATCAAATTATAAGACATTAAATGTCAATACAGTTCAACACGTTTGTTGCGATGTTTTTGTTTTGAATGCAACAATTCTTTAAACTTATAATTCGTCTGTTTAGATGTACTTACAATTAATTTGTAGAATAAACCGCATGTTTTAAATCATTTTCTTTAAAATTTAATAGTGTAGCTAAGTACTGTTATATTAAAAATAAAATGCTGTACCATATTTGTTTTGCATTGGTTTTTATGTATTATATAAAATAGTTCACACTCCTTTAAATAATCAAAACCAGTTGTGTAGACAGGGTCGTTCCATGAATTGATATGTAGCCACATTTGAAGTTGTTTTAGTTCGTGGTGTTTTCTATGTCGGTGTGAATTATTATGTAATCGCAAAGATTGCATTGTTTGAATTCTTTGTGTACCGCTTCCGTGGTTACTTTCTACTGGTTGGCGCAGTATTTGCACTTTGTGTTGTCATGTAGCCTACTAGGTTATCTGTTTTTTCTTCATGGGGTTTTGGACTAATTTCATTTGTTGTTGGATAAGCTTCTTGTCTGATGTAATTTATATGTCGAAATGACTGTGTTATCGTTGGTTTTTTTGTTGTGGTTTCTTGATTTTAGGTAAAAATTGGGTCATCTTCTTTCCCTTTTTCTGGTGCTGCTGTTTTGGCGGTTGTCTCGTGCACTCAATTAAAGATTTTTAGTGCCTTTATTATTTTCCCCTGTTCTGATGTAGGGCAGTTTTCATTTTTTTTCTTCTTTTTGTTGATGTGATGGTGTCCATTGCTGTTTCTGAATGTGTTTTGCTGGAGCTTTTTTTTTTTAACATTGTTTAGCTTTGCTGTTGTTTTTCAGACCGGTGACTCAACTGTAATCGAAGCTTTTTTTTCTGTTGCCTATTTCCACTTTGGAAATGCAATCTTTGTAAGCTTACCGAAATTAAACAAACTACAATATTTACAAAATGCACCATCTAGTAATTTTGAGTAAGCTAACCAGTTTCTCCAATGTAACCAGGAACACTGAAACTTAACATCTGTTTCTCCGCTTGCTGGATAATTTAAAAGTTCGTTATTAACACCTTATATCGTCTATTAAGGCATGGGCGGGTGATGAATAACAAAATAACCAAATTGCTTTCATTGCAAATTCAATAAAAAAAACTGACAAGATAATAGAGTCACGCGTTGTTAAAAATTCTGATAGATAAAAGTTTCAAATGTTCAAATACTTTTTTTTTCTTCTGAAAATCGCTTTAGAAAAATCAAAATTTTAGCAAAAATATACACAATTTTAACTGTAACAGAAGACCATACACATTTTCAAATATTTGTTCTATCAGTTTCAATGGTACATGTATAAAAAATAAGTAGATAAAATTTTGATCAATTTTAATAATAATTAAGAAAGTTATTTCAATGTTAATATGGTAAAAACAAATTCAACACGGCCGCCATCACCATTGCAATGGCTAAAAATTTTCGACAATTTTTTTTAGACTTAATATTTTGAGTTATAGCTATATGCTAAATATTATAGCATTATGTTTTGAAATAAGCAGTTTGGTTATTTTAAATTTTCATCACCCGCCCATACTCTCAAATACAAAATGTCGTCTGTTAGAACTATTTAAAAAACAATTAAAGCCCTATTGCGGCCAAACAACCTTAGGTAAAAGGCCCTATGGTCAAATCATCCAAAACAACGATGTCAGCGCTTAGAGTTGGCTACTGGCGTTTTTCTTTGAGAAAATTCCAAAAGCATATTATATTTTCACTTCGAACAAAAAATAAGTGTAAATCTCGAGTCCATTTTCCCGATAACAATTACAACGAAAACAGACCCGATCAGATAATTATTTGTTGTTAGGGCTGAATAGTGAATTTGCTTTCAGCTGTTGTTCTCTAGGCTTGGGAGTTAAAGAAAAAAGTTAGAAGAGAACTACAGCAGTGTAATGTAAGTGGCGGAATTGAACATAAGCGAGATGCATGCATAGGAATTTTGTTATATTTACTATGGACTAATTAACATAAACGTTTTATGGAACTTTTATAAATGTGCTTATACTGTGTGACCAGCGTCAGGTTCTAAATTTCTAGAGTGTAACTATAGTTATCTTTACATAACATTCCCCAAAAATAGCATATGCAAAAATCGTTAATTCATTACATCAAAGGCATGGAGTGGAGTTCTGAATGATCTAACAAGCTTTACATTTTCTGCATATACACGTTGTTAACAACATAAACATAAGGAACATGAACACGGGCAAACATGAAGATTTTAAAGATGCAGTATTTATACTTTTAATTGTGTACTTTTAATACAATCCAATGCGACATTACTCACAAATAAAATAAACTTATAGAATACAAATCAGTCTATTTAGTCATGATTTCAATAAGCGATTGCTGATTTTATCGACATAAAAATATACGTTTATTTTTACACTGTTTATTAGTCAACATTTTACTAGATTAAATATATATTACAAAGAAAATGATGAAAAATTAAAAATAAAAACCTGCATAAGATGTATAAACTGTTGAGCAGTGATTTCAGCGTGTTGTACATATATAGCAACGTACAACCTCAAGCCCAGAAGAATATGCTTATGCAATGTTGAAATGCATATTACATTTAACTTATTTCATATTATCCACAAGCATCATACTGGTCTAGGTATTTAACTGCTGTCTACATGGTGTGTGTAAAAACAATGAAAATGTCGCCAAGGAAAGGAATTTAATTAGACGCGTTCGCCGGCGCCTCGGCAGGAGGCAATTTAGAACCCCGGGCTCACCCGTGAGCACTATGGCACCTTCAATCGTTTTAAGGAGCACCCAACAATATTGGCACAGTGGCATTCAATGATTAAACCGACCAGGGACCGTACGCTGTTGCGCTGCGCTAGTGTTACCGGAGCGCCCCTCTACGTCCCTGACACCTGGGCTGTCGCTAAAGCGTGTTCTACCTCACTATTACGGTGAGTGATTAACGTACACTCAAGGCTTTCATACACCACACACTGAGGCGTGTTGGTTGGTAGAGTGGGTAAACCCGTGTCCTGTCAAATATGGTCCAAGAAATTTAGCGAAATTTTTGTTTAGGTTTCAATATCTCAGTTTTCGAAAACAAAATGACACGTCTAGGAATATATGATTTGGCAACGAATTGACGAAACCCTCTTAAATATTTTGTAAGATCTTCTTCTAGCCCCACAGCAACGCACGGGACGGGCACGCTAGCTTGAATAAAATGCAACGCATGATATTTTTTAGCGAAACCAGTAGCACTAGATTAAACAATCAGAATTGTGCAGATACAAACACCTCGACGACCGCCCATGTCTCATAGGAGTAGCATGGCGCCCTCGGGAGCCAGCGGCTACACTACCGCATGGGTGAGAATGCGTCACGTGATTTAGTCATCGAATGTAATGGCCCACTGTATCAATACTACATGGCGTTCGTTAAAATGAAATTCCTCCTGGAGGACTTGCTTAATTTGATGTAATGAACTGTTATATTAGCCCTTGTATCCTTAAAGTATGACAGACCGGGGTGCTCCGGGTCAATCGACATTCGGGGTGCTATGTATAGTTTAACCGATGAATCAGGTAGTATCCCTGACCCTCTGTACTTGACACGACTCAACAGATCCCTGGTGCTGAAATAATGGCTAGGGAACACTGGGAGCCCGATCACATCCTTTGCTCTGTGGTTTTCTTGTACTGGGCGTGTTGTAAAATAAAATATCACATTCACAAGTACCTAACCGACAGTAAATTTATAGGCTTACATTCGTGTATTATAACTAAAGTCGTCTGTTTATTGTCATGTGCACTTTAGGCTACATGCAGAGGTATTAATAAATGTACTTTTAAAAAATGTTTTTAAAATGACCATTCATCACACACACACAAACCGCCTATTCTCCCCCTCACCTTGACCACACAACAACGACAAGCCACACATATACAGATGTGGACTCACACAGATACACATGTAGATTCAAACATGGTTAAAGTAGAAATCACTAATATCATCAATCTAGATAACGACATACCGATAACTGCTGGATCAATTCTTTCTACTTTTCAACTTGTGTGGGAACATAACGACAGTCAATTTAATCAGACAACAGAAAAACTTGTAGCATCAGATGATGGTGACTATCTTGTTATTGTAACTTTACAGGAGCGTGAAGATAAACAAATTAAAGTTAGTGTTTTAAAGGGAGATAACGAATTGCAAAAGAAAATGTGTGTAAAGTTTGTTGAACCTCTGCTTGGGGCACTACTATTGTTGCCATGAAGAAAGGAGAAACAATTTACTTTAAGGTGCATGAATCAGAAGCAGGAGCCATGCTTCAAGCTGGGAGTGGGTTCAGTATTGTTAGGTTATAACATTGTGTTCTTGTGTAAACAACTAAACATTTCTCCTGTTTCAGTGTTCCATTAATAACTTAGTAAATAGTGCTTGGTCTAGATTTAATTGTGTTGTTTCCATCTAGAGCAGAGTCTTGATATCTTCAACAGATTGTGTGTGTGTGCTACGTGTCGTGTAATCTTGTCAACAGCTTTGTTTGTTGAAACAATTTGATTACATGAGTGTAACAGTCAAATGTAGGGTGAATGTATGTTTTGAGTGAAGGTGTAAAAAGGCGATATAAATCTAAAAATATGGTGGGCAGGCGCATTCGCAAAAGAAAGGGGAAGTGGAAAAAAGAATAAGAATGGAGCTTTTTGTTTTGGTAGTGTAGCTGCTGGCTGTATCAGAAAATGAATAAAATGATAGGATCACCAGTGATGTGGTTTATATTTGCATTTGAAGTTGGCCGTACAAAAAGGGTGTGACATTTTGGTGTCAGAAGTGAGCGGTGATCCGCACTCGCGGCACTGTAAAGGACTAACTAAAGATTTGTTGACATTTTGGTAATTGAGTAATTTACTGGGACCATTCATATGGAGGACTATGCCAAAATCATTGAGTTGGCTGACTCTTTAGGATATACTGGGGCAGAAAAGGCCAAAAGGGTTGAAAATAAAATATCAGATGATACCTGATGCAGCTGAAAGGGAATATAGAGCTTTAGATAGGGTACTAGCTAAAGCTAAAATAGAGGCTGAAGACAGAGAAAAACAGAGACAATCAGAAGACAGAGAAAACAGAGA